CTGCCCCTCAGACAGAAAAGATGCCCAGAGAAGGGACCTCACCCCCTACCACTCAATCCAGGACAGGGCCCAAAAGGCCCCAGCTATCAAAACCTTAAAAGTAGGAGGGGCACCAAAACCCCCCAGAGCACAGTCAGCAGGAAAAGTCAGGTCCAGTGTCAGGCTTAGCCAGGTGGAATCAAAGGCGGGAGGGATGGAAGGTGAGGGAAGAGGCAACAGCTCACACCAGGCACATGGGACAGCCCAGTGCAGCCTGACAGGGCTGGGATGCTTTGGGGCCCCTCCTCACAACACACCCACAAACCACAGCACACCACGGACACGGGGGGACCTCACTCATCACACCCCACCTCTCCAAAGCTTTGCTCACATCTTCAGCCCTCCCTGACACGCACCATCAACTCCAGCCTTTGCCCTCTAATACTCACAATTAATAGCTGCTGCCAAGGTCAGATGGACACGGCTTCATGGGCCTCAAGGAATCACAGAATTCCACAAAGCAATGTCCCCACCATGACACAAGAGGAGAGAGGAGCCAACTGAACAATCACTAGTAATTATAATTTTTTATTCACAGATACAGGATGTTACAACTTACAGGTTCAAAGTTAGGAAACCTCATGGCTTGAATGCGGAAGAAGGGAATTGGCATCACAGACCAGCCAGGGCAAAAAGGGATGGAGTCCCATTGGGTCTTTGTTTATTATATTTATTTAGGAGGTCAATAAATAAACTTTAAATGACCAAGTACCTTGTCATGAAAATTTCAGAAATCCAAGTGGACCACAGGGATGGAACCTGACCAACCTGAATTCAGCCTGAACAGCCTCAAGTTTTCCAGGTCCTCTCTCTTGATCTCAATCACGATTCTAGGGGATGAGCTCTCTTTCATCCCTCAAGAATTGCTCCAAAGGACTATGACCTTTCCAAGTTGACGGAGGGTGACCTCCCCAGGACATCAAATGACTCCCTCAGCATTCCTGGGTACAACAAAATGACTGACGGACATCCAGTCACACAGAACAAGAGAGGACCCAGTCAGCACAAAGCACCCAAAAACCACAGCACATGACGACCAGAAAATCACCTCACTGATGACATCACACATCTCCTGGGCACTGCTTGTTTCTTCAGCCCTCCCTGACACACATCCAACAATCCAACCCTCCCAAATCCCTACTCCTCAAAGGTGCCGCCAGCTGACAGGGCCGGGCCAAGGCTGTGCCGCCCCTGCATGAGCAGCATAAAAGCCGGCCCAGCGCCTCTCTCCCTCACACCCTTCTCCTGACGCCTTCTCCTGCCTTCTCTGCCCACAACCAGGTGAGCCTCCAGCCCCTCACAACCCCCTCCTGCTCCTGACACACCGCTCCCCTGGCCCCTCTCGGCCAGCACGCTCTGCCCCAGCCTCAGCAGCCCTCACGCCTCCCCACAGCCCCACACCAGCCTCCCCACTGCCCAGCCCTCCTGCAACACTGCCCCCAGCACCCCCAGCGCCCGCAGCTGCCTCACACCCCTCTCTGCTCTCCCCTTCTCTTCTCTTCTCTTGCCTGCCCTCCCAGGGCCCCTCCACACCACACCCATGGCCTGCTACGACCTCTGCCGCCCCTGCGGACCCACCCCGCTGGCCAACAGCTGCAACGAGCCCTGTGTCAGGCAGTGCCAGGACTCCACCGTCCTCATCCAGCCCTCCCCCGTCCGCGTCACCTTCATAGGGCCCATCATGACCTCCTTCCCCCAGAGCTCCTTCGTCGGATCCACCGCAGGGGCTGCCCTGGGCACGGAGCTCAACGTCCAGGGACAGCCCATCTCCGGCGGCTTTGGCGACGGAGGCTACGGCCTGGGCTATGGCCGTGGCTTTGGCTACGGCCTGGGAGGCCTGGGCTGCTACGGGAACAGGGGCTGCTACGGCACCTGCTGAGGCCCCAAACAACTGCCCCAACACCAACCACCCACGACCTGCAAGTCAGCACATGGAACAAGGATTCATCTCCATGCCAAGGCTCTCCAATGTGCTCAGCACTTCCAGCTCTTGCTCTCAGGGCTCCAAGCAAGGAAGCAGCCAAGGGGCCAGCCCCTGCTGCCTGCAAACATGGCCATGAGTTTTGGGCTCCGGCAAAATCTGCTACAACAGAAGTACCTCAGCTGACATTTGCCCTACTGCACCTCACACCTGATCCCTTCCACTCTTTTCTTGCCTTTTCACTCTTTTGTCTCAATAAAGTTCTCCTGCAGCAAAATATGAAATGCCTCCTCATCCTTTCTTCTTCCAAGTCTCTGACAACTTCATTTGCCACAGAGCTCCGGTAACAGATGCCATCTGGGTGGAAAAGGGACCAGCTGTCCCCTAGGAAATATTTCACAGGGATCAACAGAGACTGGTACACATGGGCCTTCCACAATGGGACACAAACTCTTCCCTTGTCCAAACACAGCCTTGGACACACCACCCACACCTTGCACACAAACTCCCAGTCTGGGTGCCTTCAGTCTCCACTGACACCAGGGGCTCCAGCCCTTCATCATCCCCAAGGATCTACTCTGCATCCCACCAACAGCTCCCTGCTTTCCTTCTCCTCAGGCTCCCAGAGCTGAACACACAACTCCA